TTCTCAGACTCAGCCGCAGTTTGTTATGATCCACGCAGTCAAATGCCTTTGCATAATCAATGAAACACAGATAGACATTCTTCTGGTATTCTCTGCTTTTAGCTAAGATCCATCTAACATCAGCTACAATAGTCTATTGAATTCCTTTATTTTAAGCAGCAGGACTGAGAGAGCAATTAAAAACTAGGTAGATAAACTAGGTAGGCAAGATAAAGGGAAATTAACAAATTGTATATTTGTTGTTGTTATGTGCTGTCTTGTTGGAACCAACTCATAGCTAACTCTCCAGTGGGTTTTCAGAGGCTATAAATCACACAGGAGGAGACTGTCCATCTTTCTCCCATGGAGTAGCTGGTGGATTTGAACCATGTATCTTTGGGACTGCAGTGCAGCTTCTCACTACTAGATCACTAGAGTTCCTCTCTTATAGATTTGGTTCATTGTTTTTCAAATCAAAGCAGAGTATTTCTTTTATACTATTTCTTCCTCATAGAAAATTTTTACACTGTTTGCAAATGAATTATTAAGAACGAAATTATCTGACTCACTAATCTTAGAGAAGATATCACAGGATTCCAGAATAAGTAAGTGTCATACTTACAAATCAATATGAGGATGTGACCAACCAATGTTTTGAAAATCATGTGACTTTAAAATCAGACCATCCATCAACACTGAATATTGTGACTCATAGTGACCCTATAAGACAAGGTAGAACTTGCCCATAGTAATTCTGAGTCAAAGTTAGCTGAAGCAGACTGCCAAATCAAGGGGACCTTGAGTGGTTGGTAGGTTTGAAGTGCTGTTCTTTAGGTTAGTAACTGAGTACTTAACCACTGTGTCACCAGAGCTTCTTGATATCCAACAGGACCATTAAATGTTATTGGTCTTTACCTTTATTTCTCAACATATATTAAACCTTTAATACTACAATAGTATTAAATATGTCATCTCTTCTACATCCAATCTCCTGTTCATCATAGCTATAAGATAATTTCCTTTTTCATAAATTGTGAGATCCCTAGGAGATATTGGAGTTATCTCTGTTACTTATTTTTGGAATAAAAAGTCAAGATTTTGAACTTTTGTATATTTTTTACTTTATTTTGTTTAATTCTTCATGTTTTCAAGACTAATAATTTTTAGAACTAAGAAAATATCTAGGATAAAATAATTAAGTAACAAGAACTTTCTACCATCTTGTTTTTAGAGAAACCCTTGTTATCAATCTAGTGAAGAACTCAAAGACTCAAGAGTATTTCCAAGATGAATGTGAAGATTTCATAAACATTCAGAAAGCTGGAGAATTACCACCTAACAGTTCTTTCAGAAAGATTGAAGAGAGTTCCTTAGAAACATGTGGGTACAGAGCGGTGATTGATATTGGGCCTAGCCGTAGGGAGTGTGAGCAAAGATTCCCATATGAGACTTTCCAGAAATGCCCAGGACCGTATATTTCACAAGCAGCAGAAAACCAGTTGCGTCATTATTTGCCAGCTCATTCACAGAAGAGATATGACTCTTTCCAAGATGAACTTGAAGATTATGTTAAATTGCCGAAATCCAGAGGACTAGGGTCAAAAACTTATTTCCAAAAGATGGAAGATAATTTTATGGAAACCCAGGGGTATAGAGAAGTGGTTGATTTTGGACCTACTCATAGAATGTTTGAACAGAGTTTTTCATCTGAGACTTTCCAATCCTACCAAGGACCATACAACATTTCACCAGGAGAAAGCCAGTTATCGTTTAGGTTACCAGCTCCTTCAAAGAGGACATATGACTCTTTCCAAGATGAACTTGAAGATTATATTAAAGAGCAGAAAGCTAGAGGTCTAGAACCAAAGACTTGTTTCAGAAAGACAGAAAATAGCTCTCTGGAAACTCATGAGTACAGAGAATTGGCTGATTTAAAACCTAGACAAAGAATGTTTGGGCTAAGATCCCCTACTAAAACTTTCCAGATTTACCCAGGATCATATAAAGTTTCACAAATAGTGGAAAACCAGTTACTTCATTGCTTACCAGCTCATGACAACAAACAGAAACTAGACTCTTTAAACAATTATCAACTCAACAGAGACTATTTCTTAGAAAAACCAGTACCCCTTAGCCTTAGTCAACAAGAAAGTAACTCTGGCCCATATAGTGTAGAATCTGAAGTTTACAAAGTCCACTCCTCAAAAACCAATACTAGTGACCAAAACGCAAGTCACAAGCAGAGACATCAGAAGAGAAAGTGGCATCTGGAAGGAGAAGGAAAGGCAGGGAAGGAGCAGTCTAAACATAAAAGGAAAAAAATTTATGAGAATGTAGATTTAGATGAAGACAAGAGCATCCAACAAATGGAAAGAAAGATGGATGAAATTAGTGTCAGTACAGGAAAGGTTATTAAGCATCGGAAGAAGAAAAAAAATCGTGAAGTAGCCTCTAAGAAAGAACGTAAGCATAGAAAAGGGAAAAAGAAATATATTGAAGAAAAGACAGAAGAGGAAATGCTTTGGGATGAGTCTATTCTTGGGTGTTAAACTTTTTAGTTTTGTTTACCCAAGGATAAATGGGAGAAATCTGTTAAGGATATAATTGATTTAAACAAAGACAAACACATCCAATGAAGAAAAGAACTGTACAGAGTCAATGTCAATTCAAGAAAGCTTCAACATTCAAAGGAGAAATAGAATTAGAAAAGCCAAACCTCTGACAAGATCTACATAAGCACAGAAACTTACCCCATGATTTGTGGGAGAAATGCCTGGCAGTATTCTTCTGTAGAAGTTATAGGCTAGAAAACATTTTGAGTTAGTTTCTACTCTGTCATTTGAGATTGCTAAGATTCTGAACCAAATTTATGGCTCCTGACGATAAAAAACACAGATAAAAGGGAAACTTAGCAAAAATTGGAAGCGGCAATGCTGTGGGATGGATCTCTCTTGAATTTAATTCTAGGAGCCCAACTCTAAATTGAAGAAATGGGTTGAGAAGTCTAATGAATTAAAGAAATAAATTGAGAAGTTTGACTACAAGAAATTGTTATTTTCATTTTCATAGGTGGTCAGGTACTTGAATTTCTAACAATAGCAAAACTATTCAATATGCTTTTTCTCCAAGTTGGAAATAACTTTCTCTCATTTTTTTAAAAGAAAAGCTTCATGTTTCTTAAATGTAATTTCCCTTATTGAAGGTATACTTGTATTCACCAAATTGCTGTGATAGTAAATTTACCCTTGGGAGGAATTTATTTTTTAAATTCTTATTTTAATGAAAGTTTAACAGAAAGTATGAATTTTAATTCCTTTATTGATACATATTTTCCTCCCTTTCTTTTCCCCTCATTTACTTTAAAACACGTCTTGACCCAGATTTTCCATTTCCATGCACGCAATGCCTAATCATGTTTCCGCCCTTCACCCATTCCATTGCAGTGTTTATTATCTACCAATTCTTTTCCTGCAGTAATAATTTATTTTAAATGAGAAAATTACTAGGTATTGAAGACATCCTTTATTTGGGTTTGTGTTAGTATTGATAATGTCTTATTGTTATTATGTGTTTATGTTTCCTGGTTATTTCCAAGGTAAACGTAGAAGCAATTTTAGATGGATTTATTTTTCTTTGTTAAATCTAACTTGCGGTGTATTTTTGTATTTTCTAGTTCTGAAAGTGAAAGTGTGAAACAGATATAATGATAAACTTAGATGATAATACAGTTTTAAAGAGCTCTTTAAAAAGCACTGATACAAAGTCAGTCTATATTCTGGAAATGTTTATATTGAAGTGTTTAATGTCTACATACCGTTTTATAAAATGATCATTTTCCATTCAGAGATTATTTTATTTGGGAAGTGAGTGGGTAATAATTGAACAGTTACATTGGGGCGATCACTGTGGAAAGTTAATAATAATTGTACTTCTTCTACATTTTGCTTAATAAAAGCAGATATTCAACCTTAATACTAGTTCTCCCCTACTAGTTCTTTCCTGGCAAATTTTGATTTATTTTACTTAGTATTATCTTTTGGTTTTTAAACAATACTTGAAGCTAAAAAAGGAAATTTTATAAGCACTTGAAGGCTTTGAGGGTGTGCCAACCTTTAAATTATCTCATTCTGTCCATTTTTTTTTCAATTTTGGTATTTCCTTTTATATAATAAGTAACTCCTGTAAGCACTGGAGCACCACTGTGGTATAGTAGGAAAAGTAATGGCCGAAGAATCTAAATCTCAAGGTCTAGTCTTAATGTGTCATGCTGTTTGACATTATGCAAATGTATTAGAATGCAATATGGTGGCATCACAAATAAGAAAACAGGTAAGTGTTCTGATGTGTTAATTTCAATAGAAAAGAAAATAAACTTGGGAAGTATTAAATCTGTATTTAGGCAAGACATTTAATAGTTACGCTGTTTTGTTTTGGGGTTTTTCTCTTTAGATAAAATGGTACTCATAGGGTGAAAGCATAATATGATTGGTTGAATTAATACCTCATTGAGTGACTAGTCCCAAAGAGAGTTACATAGCCCCCCAAATTAACTTTTTTACTCATGTTACTTGTATAGGATTATTTTTTTAAATTAATTCCAATGAACATTTACAGAGATTTTGGATTGCCATTCATTCATTGTTGCATTTTTCTCTCCGCCCCCCCCAGTTCACTCTTCTCTTTGAAAAATAAAAGAAAAATTCCTTCATTGCTATACAATCCCCCTGCAGCCCTCCCCATCCCCGAGTATACTCCACTATGCAACCTTCATTCCAGATTTTTAAGACAATCATAATGCCTTATAATATATTGCTTTTAAACTGTTCTCTCCCTCATTCATTTCAATGAAGTATACATAATTCATCCAGTTTTTCTCATTCTTACCCCAACTCTGATGCCCATTCTACAGCAGTGTTGTTGTCCTTTTGTGACTGAGATATTTCACTCAGCATAATGTCCTCGAGAGTCACCCATTTTGAATAATATTGCATTAGTTCCTTGTTTTTCAACGCAGTGTAATATTCCATTGTGTGAATATACCACAGCTTCTCTATCCATTCATTTGTTGATGGGCACTTAGGTTGTTTCCAACTCCTTGCTACTGTGAACAAAGCTGCTATAAACATGGGTGTGTATATATCTACTTGGATGTCTGTTATGGTCTCTTTAGAGTATATTCCCAGTAGTGGAACTGCTGGGTCAAGTGGTATCTTTATTTGCAACTTTTTGAGAAAGCGCCGCATCGCTTTCCACAGTGGTTGCACCATTTTATACTTCCACCAGCAGTGAATCAGGGTTACAGTCTCTCCACAACCTCACCAGCATTTGTTGCTTGCTGTTCTGTTAAATTTTGCTA